ATTTCTCCCGGGATTTTAGTCCCCATACGACACCTGGCTTCGGGGAAAAGATTCTTTTCCACTTTCCCCCTGGAAATAGAAAAATAAAGAAAAACAAGAGCTATTTAGAAAAAGGAGAAAAAAACCCAGAGTAAAATATAAAGCATGTGCGTGTCGTGAAGTGTGACCAAAATGTAATAGGGTAGCAAATACCCCGTTTTCAGGTGTTTTAGACAGAAAAAGAAACCGCAAAAACACCATCATGCAAAACGTTACAGGGTTTTTTTTCACAGTCATCTCAGGGGGTTGATTTTCCCGGGTGGGTTTCTGTCTACCAACCTACTACCTACATAATAATTCCATGGTATATTTTTTAATTTACTATAATATAATTTTTGAAAATCTCTATTTTTGTATAAATGGGGAATTTCATGTAAAAAATTAAGTGATAAACAATTCCAGACAACAGTTAAATATTACAGGATGGCCCACCCAAGGTACCACTTTACAGAGCATAATTCCGTCATTTTCCATCAAATTTTTTTCTTTTGGTGTCTTACAACGGGGAAAAATTTTCATTTCAAAAAAAAAAAACAAAAAAAAAATTCGGGAAATTTTGCGACCCAGGAACACCTCAGATTTGGGGTTGCGACAGTCAAGGGGGGAGTTTTCCAAACTTGTATCTGCCAAGCAGTCATGACACCCATAGGATACCCTGTTCTGTAGGGGGAAGAAAAGGTTAAGCGATTACGGCCGTGGCCGTATGAGTGTCACTTTGTGCACATTAAAAGAATGGGTAAATATGAGTTTGTGTGATATGATTTTCTACGACGACTTACTGTCGATTTTCGATACTTATGATTTACTTTACCGAATGACGCTTAAAGATTATTTACTGATGACTTAAAGTTAGCTTTCTCATGAAGAGGACCTGAATGGGTCTGAGCACTGATGTCTTTCCCTCAAAATGTATAGGTACGTGGGAAAATAGAACAGAAATCCTTTCAGAATTTATGCACCCCCATACAAACCATCGACTTCAGTACCAAACCTCAAAACCCTCCACCTAGCCCATAGGACAAAAAAACTCCCACTTTTTTTCACACTCCCGACACCAGCACCCACAATTTTAAATAAAAAATACTATTATTTTTTGTTGCATTTTTTTGTCTTAACATAAAAAAACCTACTAATCATCATGACAGTGAATACAAATACATATTCACTTTTTTTTGAAGATGTGGAGGGCCCAAAAAAAAGAATTCTTTGGTTTTTTTTGGGGCTCCCAGGAATGTAACCATATTTTTCCCCTTAAGCTCTTCACTTTATCTAACACGGTTTTACCTAACATGGCGTTTTCAGGGACGTAACTACCGTGTAATGTAATGGTCTACTGTAACAAGTTTACACTAACATGTACAGTGAAACCCTGGGTTTCGTTCACCCTGGGAATCGGCTGCTTCGGGTTTTGCCCGCTTTTTTCGGCCAAATTTTCTCACACATTTCGGCCGTTGCCTCGAGTTTCGAACGGCGTACAAGACCTGTCTGCCTGCCCGCGCAGGCATCATCAGCCAGTGTAGTGTTGTTTATCCTTGAATGAACATTACCCTGCGCTTTCATCCTGCCAGCCAAACAACCATCCAACCAGCCAGCCATCCATCCAGCCATCCATCCATCCAGCCATCCATCCATCCAGCCATCCATCCATCCAGCCATCCATCCAGCCATCCATCCAGCCATCCATCCAGCCATCCATCCAGCCATCCATCCAGCCAGCCATCCAGCCAGCCAGCTATCCAGCCAGCCAGCCATCCATCCAGCCATCCATCCAGCCATCCATCCAGCCAGCCATCCAGCCAGCCAGCTATCCAGCCAGCCAGCCATCCAGCCAGCCAGCCAGCCAGCCGGCCAGCCGGCCAGCTGGCCGGCGGTAGTGTTGGTGTGTCTCAGCTGGTGATAATGTATGTTTCTCAGCTGGTGGTAGTGTTGGTGGTACATCTCAGCTGGTGGTATAGTGTTGATGTGTCTCAGCTGGTGGTAGTGCTGGTGTGTCTCACATGGTGGTAGTGTTGGTATGTCACAGCTGGTGGCAGTGTAGGTGTGTCTCAGCTGGTGGTTGTGTACGTGTCTCAGCAGCTGGCAGTGTAGGTTTGTCTCAGTTGGTGGTAGTGATGGCATGTCTCACCTGGTGGGGGTGTACATGTCTCAGCAGGTGGTAGTGTAGGTGTGTCTCAGCTGGTGGTAGTGTAGGTGTCTCAGCTGGTGGTAGTGTTGGTGGTACATCTCAGCTGGTGGTAGTGTTGGCAGTGCATCTCAGCTGGTGGTATAGTGTTGATGTGTCTCAGCTGGTGGTAGTGTTATTGGGACTCAGCTGGTGGTAGTGTTGGTGTGTCTCACCTGGTGGCAGTGTTGGTATGTCACAGCTCATGGTAGTGTAGGTGTGTCTCAGTTGGTGGTTGTGTATGTGTCTCAGCTGCTGGCAGTGTAGGTTTGTCTCAGTTGGTGGTAGTGATGGCATGTCTCACCTGGTGGGGGTGTACATGTCTCAGCAGGTGGTAGTGTAGGTGTGTCTCAGCTGGTGGTAGTGTAGGTGTGTCTCAGCTGGTGGTAGTGTAGGTGTTTCAGCTGGTGGTAGTGTTGGTGTGTCTCAGCTGGTGGTAGTGTTGGTGTGTCTCAACTGCTGGTAGTGTTGGTGTGTCTCAACTGCTGGTAGTGTTGGTGTGTCTCAGCTGGTGGTAGTGTTGGTGTGTCTCAGCTGGTGGTAGTGTTGGTGTGTCTCAGCTGGTGGTAGTGTCGGTGTGTCTCAGCTGATGGTAGTGTCAGTGTGTCTCAACTGGTGGTAGTGTCTGTGTGTCTCAGCTGGTGGTAGTGTCGGTGTGTCTCAGCTGGTGGTAATGTCGGTGTGTCTCAGCTGGTGGTAGTGTTGGTGTGTCTCAGTTGGTGGTAGTGTTGGTGTGTCTCAACTGGTGGTAATGTTGGTGTGTCTCAGCTGGTGGTAGTGTTGGTGTATCTCAGCTGGTGGTAGTGTTGGTGTATCTCAACTGGTGGTAATGTTGGTGTGTCTCAGCTGGTGGTAGTGTTGGTGTGTCTCAGCTGTTGGTAGTGTTGGTGTGTCTCAGCTGTTGGTAGTGTTGGTGTGTCTCAGCTGGTGATAGTGTTGGTGTGTCTCAGCTGGTGGTAGTATTGGTGTGTCTCAGCTGGTGGTAGTGAGGTTCTCAGTGTAGCCTGGAGTGTCTCAGCTGGTGGTAGAGTTGGTGTGTCTCACATGGTGGTAGTGAGGTTCTCAGTGGAGCCTGGAGTGTCTTCGCTGGTGGTAGTGAGATTGTCAGTGGAGCCCGGAGTGTCTCAGTTGGTGGTAGTGTTGGTGTGTCTCACCTGGTGATAGTGAGGTTCTCAGTGGAGTCCGTAGTGTCTCAGCTGGTGGTAGTGAGGTTGTCAGTGGAGCATGGTGTGGCTCAGCTGGTGGTAGTGAGGTTGTCAGTGGAGCCTGGAGTGTCTCAGCTGGTCGTAGCGAGGTTGTCAGTGGAGCCTGGAATGTCTCAGCTGGTGGTAGTGTTGGTGTGTGTCACCTGGTGGTAGTGAGGTTCTCAGTGGAGCCTGGAATGTCTCAGCTAGTGGTAGTGAGGTCAGTGGAGCCCAGAGTGTCTCATGTGGTGGAAGTGAGGTTGCCAGTGGGGCCTGGAGTGTCTCAGCTGGTGGTAGTGAAGTTGTCAGTGGACCTCGAAGTGTCTCAGCTGGTGGTAGTGAGGTTGTCAGTGGAGCCCGGAGTGTCCCAGCTGGTGGTAGTGAGGTTGTCATTGGAGCCCGGAGTGTCTCAGCTGGTGGCAGTGAGGTTGTCAATGGAGCCTTGAGTGTCTCAGCTGGCGGTAGTGAAGTTGTCAGTGGTCCTCGGAGGGTCCCAGCTGGTGGTAGTGAGGTTGTCCATTGAGCCCATAGTGTCTCAGCTGGTGGTAGTGAGGTTGTCAGTGGAGCGTGGAGTGTCTCAGCTGGTGGTAGTGAGGTTGTCAGTGGAGCTTGGTGTGTCTCAGCTGGTGGTAGTGAGGTTGTCATTGGAGCCCAAAGTGTCTCAGCTGGTGGTAGGGAGGTTGTCAGAGGAGCCCAGAGTGTCTCAGCTGGTGGTAGTGAGGTTGTCAGTGGAGTTTGGAGTGTCTCAGCTGGTGGTAGTGAGGTTGTCAGTGGAGCTTGGAGTGTCTCAGCTGGTGGTAGTGAGGTTGTCAGTGGAGCGCAGAGTGTCTCAGCTGGTGGTAGTGAGGTTGTCAGTGGAGTGCGGAGTGTCTCAGCTGGTGGTAGTGAGGTTGTCAGTGGAGCCTGGAGTGTCTCAGCTGGTGGTAGTGAGGTTGTCATTGGAGCCCAAAGTGTCTCAGCTGGTGGTAGGGAGGTTGTCAGAGGAGCCCAGAGTGTCTCAGCTGGTGGTAGTGAGGTTGTCAGTGGAGCTTGGAGTGTCTCAGCTGGTGGTAGTGAGGTTGTCAGTGGAGCTTGGAGTGTCTCAGCTGGTGGTAGTGAGGTTGTCAGTGGAGCACGGAGTGTCTCAGCTGGTGGTAGTGAGGTTGTCAGTGGAGCACGGAGTGTCTCAGCTGGTGGTAGTGAGGTTGTCAGTGGAGCCTGGAGTGTCTCAGCTGGTGGTAGTGAGGTTGTCATTGGAGCCCAAAGTGTCTCAGCTGGTGGTAGGGAGGTTGTCAGAGGAGCCCAGAGTGTCTCAGCTGGTGGTAGTGAGGTTGTCAGTGGAGCCTGGAGTGTCTCAGCATATAACACACACATCAGTATTTTGCACATTATCTGATTCTTAAGTGCCTTGATGTGCATAATATGAAGATTTTTGCACTTCTGATTTTGGGTTACACTTTTTCATTTGCACTGCAACAAAATTGTGCTTTGCGAGTCCATGTTGTAAGAGAGTTTACTGCCATTATTTCTCATTCTCTAGGTGCAGTGTGAACTTCTGGTTCTACTGTATCATCCTCAACACATTGGTAATAACTTTATCATCTATCTCTACAGGTATAATTATTTTTTTTTTTCAGAAACAGCGCGACAGGATAGCTTGTTGGTTTGAAAGTCAGCCGGGAGGATGTAAGAAGCCTCACTGTCCCTTCCAGCACCAGAATATCTTGGACCATCCCAGAGAAGAAGATATCAAGAAGAAACCTGACTGTAAGTTGTTAGTACACTCAGTATACACTGGTAACTTGACTGTATGTTATTATTACACTCAGTATATACTGGCAACCGGACTGCATATTGTTAGTACACTCAGTATGTACTGGTAACTTGACTGTAATGCTGTTAGTACACTCAGCATATACTGGTAACCTGACTGTATGTTGTTAGTACACTTTGTATATACAGTGGAACCTCTGCTTGCAAGCGCATCCACGTGCAAGTTTTTTCCAAATGTGAGCAGTCGATGGGTCGATTTCTTGCTTCCATACGCGAGCAAAATTTCCATAAGCGAGCAGACCTCAAGGCAGGTTCCTTGATGCTGGTGAGGCTCTTGCTTTTGAGCTAGGGAACTGTATCTCATTTGTTTGTTGGACTATCTTATTAAAACTTGGGCAGTGTATGATGGAAAGATGGTTCTTAATGTACACCAAAAATGGCAGAAATCTAAGCATAAATAACGGAGCTCACTTCTCAGCAATTAGCCACCCCTTAGCAGTATTTTTGTATGGTTTTTATGGTTGTATTCTCGTTTTTTTGGTCTCATTTGATAGAATGGAAGATATACAGTGGACCCCCACTTAACGATCACCTCCCAATGCGACCAATTATGTAAGTGTATTTATGTAAGTGTGTTTGTACATGTATGTTTGGGGGTCTGAAATGGACTAATCTACTTCATAATATTCCTTATGGGAACAAATTCGGTCAGTACTGGCACCTGAACATACTTCTGGAATGAAAAAATATCGTTAACCGGGGGTCCACTGTATTACAGGAATAGATATCATTTGGATTGCTTTCACGACGAAAAGTACCTTGAAATTGAGCTCAATGTAGGAGAAATGTACGAGTGTTTTGGCTATGTTCGAGAGTAAAAAAATGACGTCACTGTCCATTCCAGTATGCAGTCGTGAATGGGTTGACATTATACAATTATTGCAATAAGGCATAACAGTAAATCTTATATTTTGTGTGTGGATAAAAATTACAAATTATTTATATTGTAATAATAATAATAATAATAATAATAATAATAATACAGTGGACCCCTGGTTCGAGATGCCATCGGTATCCAATAAATCCGGTATTCGATGCATTGTATCGCAAAAATTTTGCCTCGGTTCCCATTACAAAACCCGGTATACGCGATTTGTCCGAGACGTGTCCACGTGTGGCCTGAACTGCCCCGTGTGTGCCAGTGTTTACAAGCCAGCCAGTGTGCTCGCATCTAAGGATACATTCGGTACATTCCATATTATCACACTGTTTTTGGTGCTTGTTTCTGCAAAATAAGTCACCATGGGCCCCAAGAAAGCTTCTAGTACCAACCCTTCAAGACTAAGGGTGCTAATGACTATTGAAATGAAGAAAGAGATAATTGCAAAGTACGAAAGTGGAGTGCGTGTGTCGGAGCTGGCCAAGTTGTATACAAAACCCCAATCAACCATTTCTACTATAGTGACCATGAAAATGGCAATCAAGGAAGCTGTTGTTGCAAAAGGTACAACTGTGATTACGAAACAGCGACCGCAAGTGTTAGAAAATGTTGAGAGACTGTTATTGGTGTGGATAAATGAAAAACAGATAGCAGGAGATAGCATCTCTCAAGCAAACATTTGTGAAAAGGCTAGGCAGCTGCATGACGATTTGGTAAAGAAATTGCCTGCAACTAGTGGTGATGTGAGTGAATTTAAGGCCAGCAAAGGTTGGTTTGAAAGATTAAAGAATCATAGTGGCATACATAGTGTGATTAGGCATGGTGAGGCTGCCAGTTCGGACCAAAAAGCAGCTGAAAAATATGTGAAGGAATTCAAGGATTACATAGACAGTGAAGACTTGAAACCTGAACAAGTGTTTAATTACGACGAAACAGGCCTGTTTTGGAAGAAATTGCCAAGCAGGACCTACATTACTCAGGAGGAAAAGGCAATCCCAGGACATAAGCCGATGAAAGACAGGCTTACTCTTCTGATGTGTGCCAATGCTAGTGGTGATTGCAAAGTGAAGCCTTTATTGATGTATCACTCAGAAACTCCCAGAGCGTTCAGGCAAAAGAATATCCTCAAGGCTAATTTGTGTGCTGTGGAGGGCAAACACTAAGGCATGGGTCACTAGTGACTTTTTCTATGACTGGTTAAACCATGCATTTGCCCCCAATGTGAAAAATTACCTAATTGAAAAGAAATTAGACATTAAGTGCCTCCTGGTATTAGACAATGCCCTTGGCCATCCTACAGACTTGGCAGAGCAACTTTCTGGGGACATGAGCTTCATTAAGGTCAAGTTTTTGCCTCCTAATACCACTCCTCTCCTGCAGCTCATGGACCAGCAGGTCATTTCCAACTTCAAGAAACTGTACACAAAAGCTGTTTGAAAGGTGCTTTGAAGTGACCACACACTCTATTGACTCTAAAGGAGTTTTGGAAGGATCACTTTAATATCCTCAATTGTGTAAATCATATAGGTAAGGCTTGGGAGGGAGTGACTAAGAGGACCTTGAACTCTGCTTGGAAAAAACTGTGGCCAGAATGTGTAGACAAAAGGGATTTTGAAGGGTTCGAGGCTAACCCTGGAAATCCTATGCCAGTTGAGGAATTCATTGTGGCATTGGGGAAGTCCTTGGGGTTGGAGGTTAGTGGAGAGGATGTGGAAGAGTTGGTGGAGGAGGACAATGACGAACTAACCACTGATGAGCTGCTAGATCATCTTCAACAGCTAGTGGCCAGACCTGAGGAAACTGCTTCGGAGGAGGAGATGGAGAAAGTGAAGAAGTTGCCTACTTCAAATATTAGGGAAATGCGTGCAAAGTGGCTTGAAGTGCAAAGCTTTTTTTGATGAAAATCACCCTCACACAGCTACTGCAAGCCGTGTTGGCAACCTGTACAATGACACTGTTGTGAACCACTTTAGGAAAGTCATACAGGAACGAGAGGTACAGGCCTCTATGGACAGATATGTTGTGCGACAGAAGTCCAGTGACTCTCAAGCTGGTCCTAGTGACATTAAAAGAAGAAGGGAAGTAACCCCAGAAAAGGACTTGCTACCTCAAGTCCTAATGGAAGGGGATTCCCCTTCTAAACAATAGGTTCGACACTCTCCCCTCCTCCCATCCCATCAATCATCACCAGATCTTCATTAAAGGTAAGTGTCATGTATGTATTCTATTGTTAGTAGAGTACATACTACAAACTGTGCATGTCTTCTTCAGTTTGTGTGCATTAAACTTAATATTTCATGTGGTAAAAGTTTTTTTTTTTCATACTTTTGGGTGTCTTGCACGGATTAATTTTATTTCCATTATTTCTTATGGGAAAAATTGATTCGCTTTCCGATAATTTTGGTTTACGATGAGCTCTCAGGAACGGATTAATATCGCAAACCGGGGGTCCACTGTATTAATAATATGTATAATAATAGTATAATATAATACAATAATAATTTTTTTTTTTTATTATCACACTGGCCGATTCCCACCAAGGCAGGGTGGCCCGAAAAAGAAAAACTTTCACCATCATTCACTCCATCACTGTCTTGCCAGAAGGGTGCTTTACACTACAGTTTTTAAACTGCAACAATAATAATAATAATAATAATAATAATAATAATAATAATACATATATAATAATAATATACTTCATAATAGTAATTATAATAATAGCTTCAAAAGGCCGTCACTAGATGGCAGTGTTTACTATAACAAAGAGGGAGCGGTTGTGGCCGCCTCCACCTGTTACATATTGACATATTTTGTTCATTCTAGAGTATATATCAGGTTTCTATGTTATTTATATTGTTTATTATTTCATATTAGATGAACTGTGATAGATAAATAAGCCGTAGAGTTGATGATAGCGAAATATTCAAGGAGTATTTTGTCCTGTCTCCAGACAAACACTCGTCGGCCTCCGCTGCCGCTGCCGCCGCCGCCGCCACATATATAATGACATATTTTATTCATTCTAAAGTATATATCAGGTTTCTATGATATTTATATTGTTTATTATGTTATATTAGATGAAGTGAGATAGATAAGCCATAGAGTTGATATTAGCGACATTATTGAAATACAGAATTCCACTGGAATGGATTAATTGCATTCCAGTTAATTTAAATAAGGAAAATTGACTCTGCAAATGAGCAAATCCAATTGCGAGCAAGGTCATGGAATGGATTTAACTCGCAAGTAGAGGTTCCACTGTACTGGTAACTTGATTGTATGTTGTTAGTACACTCGGTATATACTGGTAACCTGACTGTAAGTTGTTAGTACACTCAGTATATACAGGTAACCTGACTGTATGTTGTTAGTACACTCAGTATATACACTGAGTATAGTACAGTATAGTACACTCGGTATATACTGGTAACTTGACTGTCAGTTGTTAGTACACTCAGTATATACTGGTAACTTGACTATCAATTGTTAATACACTCAGTATATACACTGATAACTTGACTGTAAGTTGTTAGTACACTCAGTATATACTGGTAACCTGACTGTATGTTGTTAGTACACTCAGTATATACTGGTAACCTGACTGTATGTTGTTAGTACACTCAGTATATACTGGTAACTTGACTGTCAATTGTTAGTACTCTCAGGATATACACTGGTAACGTGACTGTAAGTTGTTAGTACACTCAGTATATTCACTGGTAACCTGACTGTAAGTTGTTAGTACACTCAGTATATATCCTGGTAACCTGACTGTAAGTTGTTAGTACACTCGGTATGTTCACTGGTAACCTGACTGTAAGTTGTTAGTACACTCTGTGTATACTTGTAACTTGACTATCAGTTGTTAGTACACTGTGTACAGCCACTCTTCATTTAGCGATGTACTCGTCTACTGACGACTCGGACTTACGATGGGCTCTCTGACCAGTATTTTTTTTTTTTATTTTTTATTATCACACTGGCCGATTCCCACCAAGGCAGGGTGGCCCGAAAAAGAAAAACTTTCACCATCATTCACTCCATCACTGTCTTG